GGGGGCGAAAAATAATTTTCTGGGCGATATAGTAAAACATTATATTAAGAATAATTGGATATTTTATTCGTTATATCGTACAATAATTAAACAAATAACATTATACTAGTCACTAGTCTATTCAATGCAGTATGAATTTGGCATTAGCCTTTGCCCACGGCATCGGAATTTTGAAGTGAAGGGGGCGATACTATGTAACGGTTTTATTGAGGGGTCGATACTACGTTGAAGGGGGCGATGATTCGTTAGAGGTTGAGAAACACTGCTCTACTGTATTAATAATTAATATAAAATTATTTTTTCTAAAGGTACCTCCTACCTTTAGAAAAAATAATTTTCTAAAGTTTTTTCTAAATAAATTACTTAGAAAATTTTCTAAAGTAATTTTCTAAAGAGGTTAGAGTAAAGTCTTATGCTAATATCAATTAATAATTACAATAAATTTTTAATTAAATTTAATAATTTTTTAAATTTTTATTAAATTTAATTCAAAATAATAATTAATGAAATTGAAACTAAAGATGACATTACTTTTTTGCTTTATTTTAAAACTCTAATGTAGAAATCCATTTAACATTAATTAAACTAATATTTGTAAAAAGTTTAAATTCTCAAATAATTTTCAATCTTAGCACACCTTGGCAAACTGTATTCACTGGCCACTCCTATAATTTGATTATAGGTGTTTATGAACTGTCTCAATTATATAAGCGTAAAAATAAATACAGTTATCATTTTTATTTTATGATTAATATTTTAACCAGATGATGATGATGATAATGATGCTAAAATAAATTTGGAGAAAATTAAACAGAAAATAATTTTATTAACATTATCACTACTAAAATTATTTTCTTTATTGTTAAAAATTTTGTAACATTTTAAACAGGATTTCATCATGAGTTTTGCTTGTTTTAATAATTTAATTAATTGTTTGAACTTGTATGTTTAATTGTTAAATGTAAATGTTCTTTTGTTGTAATTCATGACCAAAATAAAAATCAGCATATAACTTGCATTCCCTTTCAAACACAGCTAACCTAATGAGTTGTTCACACAAAATTATGGTATATAAAATACATTTTCAGATTACAAAAATAAGTATTTTAAAATACATTTTTATCAATTGTAGATTTTTCTTAATTTTTTATTACATTTAAATTTTTTAATCCCTCAACCATCAAAGCACATATTTTGACTACTTAAATATGTGATTTAGAAAAACTATTTTTTCTTGAAAAGTTGTTATAATTATTTACAGATTAAGCCAGCAATTTTATTTAACTTTTTCTAAATACTACCAGAGTCTATGTTATGTTTTCTAATAACATTATGATTGTGCAGATAGACTGCATATTTGGAACTGGTTGTTGTTCCTTTAAGCACTTAGTGGTCCAGAATTGAACCCCAATTCTAAAACCATACATACCTAAAGGGATTACAGTTACCAATTTTCTTATGAACTTCAGAAAATTATTAACATAACTTTCCCAGCAGACGTATGGAATTTTTGGCTCCAGAGAGGATGAATGTAGTCATTCTTTGTTTCCTGTTTTGGTCTCCATCTGAAGTGGTATGGAAAAATCATATTGTAATCTCTTGTGCACTGACAAATTTTGATGGGTTTTATGTTCCTTCACAACACAAAAAAAATACTTGTTTGTGCAGTGAAGCAAAGGGCTTTTTGTCCCTTCAGGGACAAAAAGCCCTTTGCTTTTCCTCAGTGCATGCATGAAGAGATGCTGCCATTTTTACACCACTGTAAAAAGATGAGGTGCTACCATTTTTACACCACTGATTCATGCTTCTGATTCATATTTATTCTATCAACATCTTTGTAAAATTATGAGTACTGTATGAATCTGGTTCTGCTTTTCTTGACTGTAAACTAACCAGCAAATTTTTGAATTTTTATTGTGCACGTGTTTTTCTCATTTTTTTTTTATTTACCTTTGAATATTTTTTTGACTTTGGTATTTTTAAAATTTTTGAAGAATAGTCTTGTGTTAAAATCTATAACAACTTTAATAGAAAGAATGTAGATTAAACAAATGAGAAAATTCAGTTCCTGGTCTCAAATGTATTTAATTACAAATAAAACAATATTTTATGGATTCATTTTTTCCTTTAAACAAATCTACTTACTGATGTACCTTTAAATCTATCCTTAAACATCAATTGAAATTTTGATTGAAACTGGAAAATATGGCAAAATTTTCATAATAATAAAAATTGCAAAATAGTATAAAAAAAAGTGCAAAATTGGTTCTTTGACATTCATTTTAATGATATTTAATGAACTAATATTTTATGAAACAAGTTCTTACTTTGATGATACTTTTACAAGTTTTTATTTTGTAATTTTAACTATTATGTAAATTAATTATGACATATATTTCAAGTTTAATTGCATGAAGGATTCTGAAATAATCTGCAAGGAAAAGTTTGTGAGATTTGCATGTTTTTCACATAATATAGTGATAGACAGCACGCTAATCATTTGTTACAAAAACTTTTACCATAGAAGCGTTAAATTAAATACGTATGTCACTAAATTGATGAGCGCTTTCGACGATACACACTTTCGTCTTCTAATGACCTGAAGAAGACGAAAGCGCTAATCAATTTAGTGACATACGTATTTAATTTAACGCTTCTATGGTAAAAATGTTTTTCACATTTTGGAAATTTTCATCAAATTATAAATGTTTTCCTGAAACATTTATTTATTAAATTTTATTTTAATAGTTGTATCAAAAATAGCTTATGAATTTTTCAGAAATATTTGAGTAATGAAAATAAATATTGTGATAACATAAATTAAATTTGAAAAAATTGATCTAATTAAAAAATTTGAAATTTTGTTTAAAAAAAAAATTTATTTTAATTTCTTGAAAATCAGATGAATTTTTATACAAAATTCATTTCATATAAAAATAACAGTTAAAAATTTTAATTATACAGGGTGTCCCAAAAGTCACAATATAATCTTGTAGAAAAATTGGATCATCAGTTTTCATGTTTAAAGATTCATCATTATGGTTTCTTGGAGTGGTTTCCTGAGATCCTTAGATCTTAACCTTCTTGATATTTATCTATGGGACATTCAAAGGCTCTGATATTCCAGGAAAATATTCAAAACTTTGATTACCTAAAGAAATGCAGATATTTGAAGTTCAGTTAGGCACATACATTAGACATAATATGAGGTCAGCATGAGAAAAATGCATACATATATACTTAGAAAGAAATGGCCAACATGTAGTGATAGTTTAGTAAAGTCACATTTTTCTTAAAAGTTTAAATTTTTCTATACATTTCAACTTTTAGGGCACCCTGTATTTTTGTATAAACTAACTTGTAAGATGCAATTGAAGTTAAGTGTATTGTATGGACCTCCTTAATCAATGAAGGCATTTATTATGTAATTTTCCATAATACTATGTGAATAAAACTAAATTTTCATAAGTTTTTATACAGTAGGGATTAAATCAGTAAAATTTTGGTAATTTATTATGGAAAATCATAGCTAGTGTAAAATATTGTCAGAACAAAGAAATGGAGAAGGATGTTGTGTAACAAGATTTCAAAAACAAATTTTAATATTATACAATATATTTTCATTTTTTGTTAAAATGTAAAATATTAATGTTTTTAAACTAAATTTTGTACTATAAATTTTAATAAAGACTAAATATATGATGAAATTTATTAATAATGAATAAAGTATAAACATAAAGTTCAACTATTTAATTCTGAGAACTGGTTCAACTAGTTAGATTATTTTGATTAATGTGTTATAGAAAGTGTTATATTAATTTTCTCACAATTAAATCAAGATACATTGTTGCAAAAATTATATTAAACTACAGAAAATTTCTACACAACACAGTTACTTTTGTAACAAAAATATTTAATTTCAAAATCTTCAAAACAAAGTATTGGAAAAAAAGATAGTGTAATTATCTTTGAATCTTTGATCATCATTATTATTTTGATATGTATCACATGCATATTTCATATATTAAAATACAGGTATTTCTCATATAACACAGTAGTTACGTTACGAAAAAGTGCCATGGCATGTGAATCCATGCTATACAAAACAAAGGACTAATGCAAAACATGGGGTTAGGTTCCAAAAATTAACAAAAGTGTACTATTCTTTTTCATTAAGAGAAATATGTTTATTAAAGCAATCAATAATTAACTAACAGTCACAATTAAAAGCATTGTATCACATGTTAATATAATTTTAGTTAATCAAGAGTGTTTTCTTTTTACAAAGTATTGTCATCTTCTGAGCTTATTTGTTGATCTTGAAGACATTACTAATACTTTTGATCATTTTTTTTTATTTTTATCATAATTTTTTATGGATGAAAAAATAAAACTAAGTTATTCAAAAATTTGTTCTAGAGGGTCACATTTGTTCAGTTGAGTACCAAGCAATTTTTTCCAGAATTTGCATTGGAATACTGAATTGTTTGAGTTGAGAACAGTTTGAATATCAAGATACTGCTGTATTTTGTTCATCATTTTTATGAATGATTAGTTACCTACAGTTAAAAAAGATTAATAACACTTAACTAAAACTGCTTAATCTTTGTGTTTAGTAAAGTTTATTTAATCTATAAAAACAAAACATAGTGACAGTCTTAAGAGCTAAAGTCTGAACACAATGACATTGACACCTGGTTGATAGGAAAGCTAGGACAAGGAAGAAAAAAATTCTATTATCAATTTTCATTAAAGTAAACCTGATGAAAGGCACAAAAGAAATTGAAAATTTTAATATTCTAAAATCTGTGGGCAGATTTGAGACAAAATGCATCCTTACTTGAATAAAAAAAATATCGAATAATGGTGTTTACACTTAAAAATTGTGAAATTTTGCATGGAGAATTTTCCAACCATGTTAGTGTTGGAGTGAAACCATATGAGAAATACCTGTATTTGATATACTCTAAAAGAAGCAGTATATTTTATTAACAAAACTATCAAAATGAAAGGTAATTAAGATAAATAGGATTAAATTTAATAATTTCATTGAATGTAAATTTTTATTTAATTTTATAGAATGAAAAATTTTATTGTTGAATAGAATTTAATTTCTCTAATGCTTTTAGGGTTCTGGTGATGTCAAATATCATTTGGGAATGTCTCATGAACGCTTGAATCGTATGACAAATAAAAACGTCAAATTAGCAGTTGTCGCTAATCCATCACATCTTGAAGGTGATAAAATTTTAATAATATTTTGTAGATATAATGTATATTTTAAAACCAGTATATAAATTTATAGTTCTGAGAGTGATTTCTTGAATATTTTATTACATTGTAAACAGCTATTTAAAATCTATTTCATATATGTTTGTAGTTTCTCTTCTAATAATCATTTTTAAGAGCATTTTTATATTTTATATATCATTAACTTTTGGATAATATAATAAAATTCAAATGGCCATCTTAAAGGTCTATCAGTAAACACCAAAGATTGGATTTTTAAATGTTCTCCAATATAAATACTTTTGATAAATACTTGATTAGTTTATGATTTTTACTGTACATTTGTTTATTGAATGGAAAGATATCCAGAAAAGTCCAGATCTTTTAAAGTAAGTAATAACAAAAATATGAGAATTTTATATGGGGTATATCTGTGTGAAAGATAAATTGTAATTAATATTAATACAAGTTATGATCAGAAAATCTTTAAGATTTTTATAGTTCATGAACTAACTTTTAGAATTAGTGTAAATTACATCATTGTAAAAGATGATTTTAAGTACTAATTGAATAATAATTTTCCTCTGTGAGAAATTGAAATATTTTGAGTGCTTAGAGAACTAATTTAATTGTTATATTTAATTATTTATTTATTATTTAATATTAAAATTTTATTATTAATTTAATTATTATATTTAAAAAAATTATTTGTATATAAACATCAACTCACAGCCCGAGTAGATAATAACAACACCAAAC